TGTGACTGACCCACAGTTGTCACTTTGGACAATAAAGGAGTCCATAGCTCTGGGTAAGAACCAACAAGTCTTTTGGTGTTTTCAAATGCCTTCAAAGGACTTTCTTTCCCTGTCCTGGCAGCTTTATGGAGCGCCATGAGCGCGTGTAGATGAGATGGTATCAAAAAGTTTCAAGACTAGTTTTGTAACATGCCAACAGATGGCAGCACAAGGCTGCACTCTCAGTCACAGGGAGCACTGACCTTCACAAGTCAGTGTGCCAAAAGACATCATCCTGTGTACATCGGGAGCTGTGCAACTGGTGCTACTCTAACCACGTGCGTTACCACGCCGGACATTTCACCATGGACAGCAAGTTAGAACAAACAGTAAACGTGACATTTGCTAAGAGATTTCCCCCTCCTGCACATTTTTTGTGTATTTACCTGTTAAAAAACCAATAAAATTATATATATATATATATATATATATATATATATATATATATATATATATATATATATATATATATATACACATACATACATACACACACACACACACACACACACATATATATATACATACATATACATACATACACACACACACACACACACACACACACACACACACATATATATAAAAAACACAGTATCTCCCAAAAGTGAGTCCACTCCTCACATTTGTGTAAATATTTTATTTTATCTTTTTCATGCGACAACACTGAAGAAATGACACTTTGCTACAATGTGACGGAGTCAGTGTACAGCTTGTATAACATGTAAATTGCATTTGCTGTCCCTTCAAAATAACTCAACACACAGCCATTAATGTCTAAACCGCTGGCAACTAAAGTGAGTCCACCCCTAAGTGACAATGTCCAATTTGAACCCAATTAGCCATTTTCCCTCCCCGGTGTCATGTGACTCTTTAGTGTTACAAGGTCTCAGGTGTGAATGGGGAGCAGGGGTGTTAAATTTGGTGTCATCGCTTTCACTCTCTCATACTGGTAAATGGAAGTTCAACATGGCACCTCATGGCAAAGAACTCTCTAAGGATCTGAAAAAAAGAATTGTTGCTCTACATAAAGAAGGCCTAAGCTATAAGAAGATTGCCAAGACCCTGAAACTGAGCTGCACCACGGTGGCCAAGACTATACAGCAGTTTAACAGGACAGGTTCCACTCAAAACAGGCCTTGCCATGGTCGACCAAAGCAGTTGAGTGCATGTGCTCAGCGTCATATCCAGAGGTTGTCTTTGGGAAATAGACGTATGAGTGCTGCCAGCATTGCTGCAGAGGTTGAAGGGGTGGGGGGGGTCAGCCTGTCAGTGCTCAGACCATACGCCGCACCCTGCATCAAATTGGTCTGCATGGCTGTTGTCCCAGAATAAAGACGATGCACAAGAAAGCCAGCAGACAGTTTGCTGAAGACAAGCAGACTAAGGACATGAATTACTGGAACCATGTCCTGTGGTCTGATGAGACCAAAAGAAACTGATTTGGTTCAGATGGTGTCAAGCGTGTGTGGCGACAAGCAGGTGAGCAGTACAAAGACAAGTGTGTGGTGGGAGTGTCATGGTCTGGGGCTGCATGAGTGCTGCCGGCACTGGGGAGCTACAGTTCATTGAGGGAACCATGAATGCCAACATGTACTGTGACATACTGAAGCAGAGCATGATCCCCTCTCTTCAGAGACTGGGCCACAGGGCATTATTGCAACATAACGACCCCAAACACACCTCCAAGATGACCACTGACTTGCTAAAGAAGCTGAGGGTAAAGGTGATGGACTGGCCAAGCATGTCTCCAGACCTAAACCCTATTGAGCATCTGTGGGGCATCCTCAAACGGAAGGTGGAGGAGCGCAAGATCTATAACATCCACCAGCTCCATGATGTCATCATGGAGGAATGGAAGAGGACTTCAGTGGCAACCTGTGAAGCTCTGGTGAACTCCATGCCCAAGAGGGTTAAGGCAATGCTGGAAAATAATGGTGGCCACACAAAATATTGACACTTTGGGCCCAATTTGGACATTGTCACTTAGGGGTGGACTCACTTTTGTTGCCAGCGGTTTAGACATTAATGGCTGTGTGTTGAGTTATTTTGAAGGGACAGCAAATTTACATGTTATACAAGCTGTACACTGACTACGTCACATTGTAGCAAAGTGTAATTTCTTCAGTGTTGTCACATGAAAATATATAATAAAATATTTACAAAAATGTGAGAGGTGGACTCACTTCTGGGAGATACTGTATCTATCTCTCTCAAAACTATACAAATGTATCCTGTCTGAAGTTCATGTTTAAAGTGCACAAAAACATTCTCTTAACCTCTTGCCGTTTGCCTGCTGTTTATAAACGGCAGGACGGTGGCAGTCCAGGGGCGGGTTGCCGTTCCAAAACGGCACCCGCCTTTTCTAGCTGTGCGTGCTCCCTGGGAGCGCGCACCACCGCGATCCGTTGCCTGCTGTGTCCTCCGGACACAGTGAAACACCGATTGTTGGACGGGACCTCTGCACGAGGTCCCGATCGTGTGATCACGGATTGGCGAATCAGTGATCACATGCAAAGTAGTAAGCAAGATGTCACTTGTGACATCATTGCTTACTACGTGTGAATGATCACAGAGGTCACATGGTACAAGGCTATTCACAACAGCCTTGTACCATGTGACAAGCTGTGACCAATCACAGCTCACTCAGTACTTCTCAATGACTGCAAGAATGCAGACAGAGAGAAAGAGAAATGATTGCTTTTACATCCTATATGGGTCTAAAAGCAACCAGTGTAAAAAAAAAAAAAATCTTCATCACCCCCCACAAGTAGTACAGTGTCACCATGGTGACACTGTACTGCTAGGGTGACAGTATGTAAAAAAATAAAATAAAAAAATAAAATTTTAAAAAAATTAAAATAAAAATGTAAAAAAAAAATGTTTAAAAATTATAATTTTTGGTTATAAACTAATTTGGATTTTTTTTTACTAAAAAAATAACGGAATAAATTTTGGCCAAGATTTATGATGAAATATTATTGATTTGCAAAATTTTATAAAAAAAAAAACACTTTTTAAAATTTTTGGACATTTTCATTTACATAGTAAAAAAAATAAAAATCCCAGCGGTGAATAAATACCACCAAAATAAAGCTTTATCTGTCTCAAAAAAATGGTAAAAAATTCATATGGGTACAGTATTGCATGACCGCGCAATTGTCATTCAAAGTGTGATAGCGCTGAAAGCTGAAAATTGCCCTGGACAGGAAGGGGGTAAAAGTGTCCGGACAAGAAGTGGTTAAAACTCCAGCATCATGCAAATTGTTTCTGACAATGAAGGTGATGGAATGTCATCTGAGCTGGAAGGAAATAATGGCCAGTAGTTAGCAGGAAGAGAAGTTATCACATCTTTTCTGAAATGTTTGCTCCCACCATTGGAAAGGAAATAGAAGTGTATCAGGATGAACATACTAAGCTACATTTTATTGTGTGTCTGCGGGAAATCAAAAACACGACTAGAGCAAGATGTCCGACAATCTTTTACAGTTTTTTTTTTTTTTTTCAGCAAGTTGAATAGTCCACCTCTAAAATCAAACCTGTGCTCCATTTTAAACTTTTGGAATAAAAGTCTTGCCCTAACCCTAATATTACCACAATACTGAAGAAGAAAAAAAAAAAAAAAAAAAAAAAAAGGCAGGTGGGTGGATATTTACTTACGGAGCACTGTACAAAAACGACACGATTTACCGCTTGCTCACATGCACAATGCCAGACAAAGTAGATCACAGGCAAAAGTCAATCAGATTGGCTCTGCGCCTTGTGATCCTTCCTAAAAAAAAAATGCCTTTGATAACCATCTGTGCAAGTATTGTGCAACATAAAAAAAACTGCAAATGCCACCATTTAATTTCCAGGCCCCTGCTTTCAAAAAACCTAGAATTGTTTTGTGGTATAAATTACTTTTCTAGCCATGTAGATTTTACATATGTGTGAAAAACGTCCTGGGTACAAAAGTGCTCAAAAAGAACCGCCAGCAACCTCAGGAGGAGCCCTGGTGAGGAAAGGCTGAACAACAGGAAAGCAGTCATCCAGCCACAGAAACCAAATTCCATCAATCTCTGGTAGAGGTGAAAAAAAGAACAAACAAATAATAAGTTACTGTGGTAAACACGAAGATGTGTCCACCAGTCACGGAATGGTCAGCACCCACCGCACACAGCACATCTATGATGAGCAGGCACATGCGAGCGCTGGGGAGGTGGTAAGAGTTTGGAGGTTATCAAGGTTAAAACCTAATCATACATTTAACCATAACAGCATGGCGCATGCTTGCAGGTGAACGAGCCCTGATACCAGCCATTGTCAACCAGGGTCTCGTAGAACACGAAGGCTTCTCTAGAGGGGTTCACTGAGCAGTAAGCAAGGTCTCAATCCAGATAAAAGTGAAGTTGGCAACCCGGCAAATATACAATGAAAATGTGTTGATTAGAAATGCAGAAAAAGGTTCCAATATACAAAAAAAACAGCAACGCGTTTCAGCATCAGAAAGCCTTAATTATAGCTCAGCTGGTGTGAACAAGTTCTTATACCAGTCATCGTCAACCAGGGTTTGATGGAACACTAGGGTTCCTCCACAGGTTGCTTGGGGTTCCTTGAGCAATAAGCAATGTCTTCCTCTCAGATAAGTAACCAGTGACACCACTGACCTTTATAGCCATCTGTAAGGAAGGGGGGTGGGGAGAATTCTACTCAATGACCTCAAATGAAAGGCGCATCCCAGTGACATCACATTAATTTAAGGTCAGCTGTAGATATGTAGAATTATTAGCAGGGGTTCCCTGAGACTGCAGAGGTGTTTTAAGGGTTCCTCATTAAAAAGGTTGAGAAATGCTGCCTTATACTTTGCGTGGAAATGGATTATTTGAGAGTGCAAATTTTAGCTTGAGCTGTTGAACCTCGTAAACTTGATTTTTTTTTGTAATGCAGGAAGGAATTTGGAAACATGTTAAAAAGAGGACCTGCTAGCAGGGGCGGACTGACAACTCATGGGGCCCCCGGGCAATAGGGGATCATGGGGCCCCTGTGTCATTGCCCAAACTCAAAAAAAGCCTATGAAAAAGGTACCAGGGGCATCTCATGGGGCCCCCTACTGACCCCGGGCAGTGCCAGAGTTTCCAAATGGTCAGTCCGCCCCTGCCTGCTAGCCAAATATCGATTTTTTTTAATTTGGATTTTTTTTTGCACTTTTTTTTTTAAATAATACATTTAGAAGTCCTGATTGTAATAAAAAATAAATACAAATTTACAAAAAATGTTCCTTTTGGCCTTTCCTTTCTAACAAAAGGCTGTAGCTTATTAGGAGGTCAACCGTCCCCGGCACACAATGACAATACCCTTGGCACGTAAGCATTGTTCACAGACGTGGATCAGCAGCGGTGTCATTGCCTTCCTGGTAAACAGCGCAGATCCCATTACGTGTGTCACCACCATTGCACAAGGATGTGAGGTGTGTGGAGGATAAACAGACTGACAGCAAACAGTTCTCTTGGCTTCAGACAAAATCCTCCGATCTTATCGCATTGTCAGCTTCACATTCTGATTAGTAACCTGAAACTCCACACACTATCTCACTTTCCTTCCGCCTGCTCTGCAAACTGCCTGCAATACTGTACAGGTGGAGAACCAGCCTCAATGCAGTACTATAAAACATGGTCAAAACTTGTTAAACCCTAATGGAGAAGACTGGTGTACTGCCTTATGGTGACCATACACATTTCAATTTTTTTATCCAATCAATTTGTGATTTGATCAAAAAATCAAAATCTGCAAAAAAAAAAAAAAAATGGGAGTAGGAATAACTTCCCTTCCAATCCACTTAGACTTCATTCCGAACGGCTTTGGCAGAAAATTATTGATTATTTTGCATTGATCAGCAGCACTGAGATACTTGTTCATGAATATGATCGTATTTGGACTGATTAGATTATGAGATTACATGGTGGAAACAGAGAGGCAATTAAGGATTTACGTTTGCTGGTTACGATCACATCTCAACTATCAATTGAAATCCACTTTCCCATGTGTGGCATATCAATCAAATGGATCATTGACTATAGATTAATTATTCCCACTGAGGAAATTAATCAGAAAAGAAATCAATCATTTTTTTAAGTATGTATAGATCAAATTTTGACCATTCAGCCTCCGAAAGAAAATCACTTGATTTCCCAAACAATGATAAACAGCAAGTATGGAGGAACTGCAACTATATTCAGGAAACCACAGTTCCCGCAGCTGCTGGCACTGCCAAATAGTGACTACATCCGAGAGGACCCCACCCCAGAGGACCTCATCTGAAAGGACCCTGGAGGACCCCATCCCAGAGGACCCCATCCGAGAGGACCCTGGAGGACCCCATCCGAGATGACCCTGGAGGACCCCATCCGAGATGACCCTGGAGGACCCCATCCGAGATGACCCTGGAGGACCCCATCCGAGATGACCCTGGAGGACCCCATCCGAGATGACCCTGGAGGACCCCATCCGAGATGACCCTGGAGGACCCCATCCGAGATGACCCTGGAGGACCCCATCCGAGATGACCCTGGAGGACCCCATCCGAGAGGACCCAGGAAGACCCCATCCGAGAGGATCCAGAAGACCCCATCCGAGAGGACCCAGGAAGACCCCATCCGAGAGGACCCAGGAAGACCCATCCGAGAGGACCCAGGAAGACCCTATCCGAGAGGACCCAGGAAGACCCCATCCAAGAGGACCCAGGAAGACCCCATCCAAGAGGACCCAGGAGGACCCCCATCTGACATCTTCCTCCCTAACTCGGCTTATCACTGAAAGGCTGGCACCCTGTTCTACAGCGATAAGGAAATGATCTCTAGATCACAGCCATTGAAGCAATATTTCCAGAAGGGGGGTGGCTTCAGCAATGGCAGTCTCTGAGCCTCCTGAGAACAGGATTCTTTTAAAGCTATACTCCAGGCAAACAGCTAAAAACACCGATAAAATACATGTACTGATCAGCCATAACTTGATGACGACTAACTGGTTAAGGGAATAACATTGATTATCTCATTACAAAGACATCTGAAAAAGTCAATGGGATATATTAGGCATCAAGAGAACATGTTGTTCTGAAGTTGGTGTGCTGAAAGCAGAAAAAAAAAATGGGCATTGCAGTTTGTTTGTGTATGGAGCTGTGTAGCCGCAGAGCGGTCAGGGGGGCCCCATGCTGACCTGTGTCCTCAGCCATAAGCGCCTACAATGGGCACATGAGAACTGGACCACAGAGCGATGGAGAAAAGAGGCCTGGTCTGATGAATCACGTTTTCCTTTCATGTAGATGGCCGGGTGCATATGCATTGCTTACCTGGGGAAGAAATTTTACCAGGATGAGGTATGGGAAGAAGACAAGCTGGTGGTGGCAGTGTGATGCTTTGGGCAATGTTCTGCTGGGAAACCTTGGGTCCTGCCATTCATGTGGATGGTACCGGACATGTACCACCTACCTAAACATTGTTGCTGACCAAATACATCCCTCCATGGAAACAGTTTTCCCTGATGGCAGTAGGATAATTGAGCCCTGCCACACTGCAAAAATGGTTCACGAATGGTTTGAGGAACACAACGAGTTTGAAAAGTTGACTTGGTCTCTAAACTCTCCAGATCTCAACTTCAAGCAAAAAATTACATAATGAAAATGGAAAGATTTTATTTTAAAAAATAATTAGCATTTTGATTTGGGGAGGGCAGGAAAGGGAAAATATAATCAGAAAGGTAACATCAACAATACAATATACATTGAAGGGAACATAACATGTCACTCACGCTGTTAAATGATAATAATTTGAAATATCAGGATTTGGAGCTCCGGCAACTGCAAAGTTACTGCTTCCCGTGTCCACCAAAATGTTTACCTGAAAAAGAAACAAGATATATCCAGTGAGTGCCAACACATGTAATGCCACATACGTAGAGCAGGGGGGGGCCAAACAAGGTCAGCTTTTACCCCAAATGTAAAAATGGATGGCAAACCTAAAAGGACTCTGGCCACAGACAATGGTGGCATTGATTTTAGCAATTGCTTATTAATTAAAATTGAATTAGTTTCTGCAAATGTTCACCCTGCTTCAGGGCTGTGAGTTCATAAGCTCCCTTTCACCATGATGTATAGTTATGATACTTTACCCTTTTTTGGATATAGTTCTCATGAAGGACACCAATGGTCATCTAACCACCAATCTACACCATAATCCCACAGATTTTACATGCATCTAGCTTTCATCCCAAAACTTTAGTTAACTCGACACCCTATAGTCAGTATGTTCAGAAGATCATGTATTTAACCTCTTCACGCCGGCCGAACGCAAATGTGCGGCCTCTCGGCGTCTGGGCCTAGACGCCAAGCAGCCGCACATTTGCGTTCTATTAAAAAAAGACGTGCTGAGAGCGCATGCCCTGTGCGCTCCCAGCACATGTCCGGTACTCACGGAAAGGTCCTGATCTCTTTCGATTGGGACCTTTCCCGATCATGTGACGGTGGTCACATGACCCTAAACCCCTCCTCACCTCCCAGCTTCTGAAACCCTTAAAGGGCCGGGAGGCACCGGCACAAAGGGGCACTTTTACCCCCTTTGTGCCCAGGCCAATTTTCAGCTTTCAGCGCGCTCACACTTTGAATGACAATTGCGCTGTCATGCAACACTGTACCCATAAGAATTTTTTAATATTTTTTTTCACATACATATTAGTTTTCTTTTGGTGGTATTTAATCACAGCTGGGTGTTTTATTTTTTGCACTATAAACAAAAAAAGCAAAAAATTTGAAAAAAAAAACCCCAAAAGTTTATTTGTTTCGATTATAAAATTTTGCAAACAGGTAATTTTTCTCCTTCACTGATGTGCATTGATAAGGCTGCACTGATACAAAGCACTGATGAGGTGGCACGGATGATGCTGCAATGATGGGCACTGATAGGCTGCACTGATGACATGGCATGGATGATGCTGCGCTGATGGGCACTGATAGGCGGCACTGATTAGATGGAATGGATGATGCTGCACTGATGGGCACTGATAGGCGGCACTGATGAGATGGAATGGATGATGCTGCAATGATGGGCACTGATAGGCAGCAGTGATAGGCTGCACTGTTGAGATGGCAATGATATGCTGCAATGATGGGCAACACCGACGGGACTGATGGGTGCAACTGCTGGGTCCTGATCATCAGTGCTGATCTGCTCTGTGGCAATTGCCGGTTATAAGCAGTACTTTCCTCAGACTGTGACAGCCTGAGGAAAGTACAGCCGATAACTGGCAACTGTATTTACTCGGTGATCCGCTGTGATTAGCCTTTTACCTCATTACGTGATCCGTAGGACACAGCAAGCACAGAGACCGCCGGCTGCGCTCGGGAGGGCGCATTCTGGGAGGACGTCATAGGACTCCCTCCCAGAACTGGACAACAGCGCTGTAGCCAACCTTCGGCTACAGCGCGGTTGGCAAGTGGTTAAAATGGAAGCGGATAAATTGAAGGAATGACTACTTGCCAGGGGATATTCCCTCAAATGTCTAAAAAAGCATTTAGACAAGCTAAAAACCAGACACAACTTATTACATTGGCAAAAATGCACTAAAGAAACCAATACAACTAGAATTATTGCAAGATACTCAAATCAGCAAGACAACATCTATAAAATTGTCCAAAAATATTGGCACTTATTGTCCATCGATCCCAATAGAAGTCTCCTTGTGTCAGATAAGCCAGCTTTCACTTTTTAAAGAGTCAGATCCATACGGGATGATTTAGTTCAGAGCGAATAAAAAGGTACCCATCGTGGTGATCCTTGTAAACTCATTGGAAACTTTAAATGTGAAGGTGGTAACTACTGGCAATACATGGATATTCGTAAATCTGCGACGCTTCCACATGGGCTCAAATTTGAGCCGCAAAATTTTGCGAATTGCAAAACCAAAGGGGTAGTTTATCTGCTCCTATGTGAAGGCAACTGTTTTTATGTAGGGAAAACCACGTTAGAATTTTGGAAGCGAGCTTATCGTCATATCACAAGTAGGAGAACTTGTGACAAAGATCTTCCACTCGGACGACATGTTAGAAATCTGTATGGAGGGATTTTTCCAAATATACACGCTGTCTTAACTTAGATTGAGTACATCCAAGTCCTCAAGGGGGTGATTTGAACAAAACGCTTTTGCAGCGTGAGTTTAGATGGATTTACAAGTTGGGAGCTACATCCCCTCCAGGTTTAAATGAATCTATATAGTATAGGCCTTATTTGGAGGGTTGCAT